GGCATAATAAGTGCCAGTATGCTGCCAAAAGCATCTTTGAACCGTGAAACTTGATTGTGGATGTGAGCTCATGAGTTGTCATGCAATGTGGGCTGCAAGCCTTGAAATATCCAGTGCAGCAGCATCTATTAAAAGCATTAATGAGTGTAAAAATTCACTACAAAGCGAAAACTAGAGGGGGGTGAATCTCATTAAAACATGCCTAAGGTCACATTTCACCCCAAAATCAAAAGGAAAAAAAAAAAACATGAAGAAAATTAGGTCTATTTTTTTCTTCCATTTTCCTGAAATTTAAGCATGGGGTTTGTGAGATTCATCCATCTAGAGATAGAATTTTTTTTTAGAGAAGGATAGCGTAGGATCCAAAGGTATTATGGAGATAAGGTTTGAAAAAGAACAGCCAAAGTTGCAGCAGGAAAATGAAAGTGCATTGAAGAAGAAAGAGATTTAGAGTCAATGAAGAGTTCTTAAAAGCAATCATCAGAAGAGCTAGATGTGATGACCCTGCAGCACTGTTTCAAACTCTGTAAGACTGTGCCCTTTTACTTAGCTTTTACCTTGTTACATGCCATTGACTGTTCTGTCACAGCACAAAGTGATTGAGGGATGGTTAGGGGACGTGCCTGTCAGAATACACTGCTGATTCAGTGAGTGAGAAGCCCCCGCTGAGACCAGACTCGAGAACCGAGGGTCAAAGATGAACTCGTAAATTTATAAAAGCGGCTCACACATAACCAGCAGATATACAGCCACAGTAAGACACCAAATAACTTAAAACAGCTTTATTTCAGTAGTCAAATATTTGAGTAAATGTATTAGTGACTTCTTAAGTATATTTTTGGCAACTTTGTAGTTTTTGTATCAAATATATAGTAACCTCCTATACTAGATTACATTTTTTTAATAAGTATGTGCACTCTTTACTCTAATACATTTGTAATGAGAAATGCTATTAATTTTTAAATTGCATGGCACCTAACTTTTTCTGCAGTTTATTTCTGCTACAAAATAAGTAATATCACCATCTGCAGGGCATTGAAGGTACTATATCTTGTGAGTTTGCCCTTCCTCAGCAATGCTACTTTACACAAATGCGAATGAATTAGCAGGTAGTTGTGAATCAGAGGTGTTTATATTTGATATGAGGACTGGACTGCAGCCGATAATGAGGCCGAAACCAGTGTCCAGTGGAAGCAGGTTTTGACTATTTAAATGGGAACTTGGCAACTCTAGTTTTATCTTCGCTGATTTCCACTTTTGTTGTGGCATGTTTTCTCATCAGCGCCCCCTACAGCTGTGCGGCGTAGCTATATTTCACAACACTGCCATAAAAACACTCATTTGCAGAGGTTTCCTCCCCCTTTCTACCGCTGCTCATGTGCTTCTGTTATTATCGGAGCCAGTATCATAGAATTATGTCGAATTGCCATAGAGCAGTTTGTGTTTCTCGCTCGTTCTCGCTTCTCACGAGACTTCTATTTCCAACTTACCGGGACGATAGTCCTCATTTGCACCTTTAAAATACTAAAATCAGACACTGAGTGGTGCAATGCACAAGTGTGAGGATGTTGTATGTGGTTTCCAAGGCGTTTATATGGGGTTTCTGGTTGCAAGGGCAGGACAAATCCAATTATAAGTTGTCTAAACAAGTCTAACATGGTATGTACAATGACAAGAAGTGTTCAGCTTTCACCTTAAAGGTATGGGGAGTGGGAGCTCCAGCTATGTTTTTCACATAAACATGATTCAGTTCACACTGCTGTAACTAAAAAAGTGCACACAATGATTAACACAATGAAAATATAATAAAAATTCATCAAATTAATTCTTAAAATATAAACCTCATTCAATTGCATCATTGGCCAAATGGTGGCACTTGGATACATGTACTTTTTAAATGTCAATTGGACACACACCAGGGCATAATGCAATGAGTATCAGAGCTGACACCCCAGTGGCCACACTTGATCGGTCACAATTCAGGTCTGCAAGGCACAGATAACGGCACCTGCCACTCCTCTGCCCAGATAATACAAGAAACTCACTGAGCATGCTCAAACAACCACTTCACTACATTTAATGACCGGGTTTAATTCACAGTGACCCAAAAAGTATTTCAACAGCCGAATCACACTTAAAAAATTGAGATTCACTGAAAAACCAACCAAGTGACATCAAACAAATTAAACCAGTGTGTTTCTTCATTTCCCTTTTCAACTTCATATATTTCCCATTAAAATAAATACGTAAATATTAATACTGCTAAATACATTTGGGGGCACATGTACCACGTGTCTCCACAAGAGGGCTCTGCTGTTCTGGATTTTAATTGATTAAGTTTTTTTTTTTTTTTTTTTTTTTTAAATGCGTGCACACTAAAAGTGTTACTATTCACTCCAATACCTAATCTTCATGCGACACAGAAGGGCTACTGATATTAAATGCAGGAATAAATTGCATTTTAAAACATACCATAATAGAAAGGTTATTTAAATAGTAACAATAGTTGCTACAATACTGTTTTTACTAGGCTAGGTCTATTTTTATCAAATAAATGCAGCCTTAATGAACAGAAAAACTATATATATATATATATATATATATATATATATATATATATACACATATAAATTGAAATATATATATATATATATATAAAAAATATATATATATATATTTCAATTATATAGAAGGGCTATATATATATATATATATATATATATATATATATATATTCAATTATATAGAAGGGCTATATATATATATATATATATATTGGACACAATTTGGGATTGTAATATATATATATATATATATATATATATATATATATATATATTACAATCCCAAATTGTGTCTAATCGTTAGCCGCAGGGTAATTTTCCCTTTGTCATTATGAAGGTAATAAAACTGCTAATTATTGTGAAGCAGGGATGACACAGTTGTGCTTAAATATGCAGATATACTCTGAAAAGGCCACTAGACAAAAAAGTAGACTGTATGAAATAGAACTGACACAAACTCCAGGGCAAAGCTCACTGGCATTTTAAGCATACTCCAAAACAACAGATGAAACAAATATGGGACATTGGCTTTCTTAATTCAAGGTCATACCATAACACTTCTCTCAACATCTATGAATTTCTGTCAAACAACAACAACAACGGTGGGAATCTAATGAACAGCCTGGGGGCAATCATTGTGAGTCAATGCAAATTATTCATTTCCTGCAGCGTTAAACAGACCTGAGCTTTACAGGCAACATAACCTTACATGTTACCCATAACTGACAAATGAAAGTGTGAGGACATGTCATACAGCATGTATAAGAGTATAGGTTAATTGGTCACTTTGAGCATACCTTAACAAGTTTACACGTGTGTGTGTGTGTGTGTGTGTGTGTGTGTCTGTTTGTGCGTTTTATCTGTTTTTGTAGCCTCACATTCACAGCTTGTGTGTGTGTGTGTGTGTGTGTAGGTGTGAAGTTATGCAGGGACAGGTGGGCTGTAGGTCACACATAGCCAGCGGGACAGCCGGTTATTAAAGAGGGTCTCATTTGACGTCTAACTTTCATAGGGAGGACCCGATGTCCGTACTATTCTGGGTCCAGTACACACCCTTCCCTTCTGTTCCTGCTGTAACCGGACACCTTAACTGCCATTAAGCCAAACCTGCTGACACACACAGTTCTCTGTGAAACTGGATGTTCAGCACTGAACCGTCTGCTTTATTAAACAAAAACAAAAACCAAAAAAAAAAGAATAATGTTGTGATCGTGAACATTTCCAAATGTTATTTTTCAGTTGGAAAAGATTATTTTACAGAAACTAACTGACATAGTGTATCCGTTTACGCACATTCTAAAAGTAAAGTTAATTAAGTAAAATCACAAAGGCATTGTTAAAGTTTTAAACTTATAAAAACAAATTGTGACTGTATTATTAGTAAACTGGGGTGATATTGGGGCTGTCAAGACATTAAATGTATTCTTTAGTGTCAATGACACTAATAACATTACTTTTTGATAGCCTATCCCATCTGATTTTCATTACTAAATTAATTTACCATTAGTAAAGTTTCTTTCTGAATTTCACCACGGTTTCTTCCACTGCTGTCAAAACTCTCAGTCAAAGCTCAGGTGTCTCATTATATAGAGAAGAGAGAAGTCGTCAGACTCATTAAAAAAAACTGTTTTCTGACTGTCTATATATATATATATATATATATTTTCTATTTTATTTAATTTTTTTAACAAAAGTCCAATGATGTGTGTTGGTGGTCAGCATTCACACAGGCTTCACACACTTAATAACAGTGAAAGAAAGTGCTATCGCCTCCGGCTTAATCAATCAACATGGCAGGTGATTTAGGGCTCTGTCTGATTTCACATTAAATTTTCTGAATATTACAAGATAGCAAAATGTTATCATATAAGCTCCCTCCAAGACAGTGATCTCATAAACTCACTTGAGATTGAGTTTTAAAACCAGAAAAAGCCAATCAACTGAAGCCTAACTTTATCATAAATCAATTCTGCGGAAGAGCAAAAAAGGAAATTACACACAGTTTGCACCCTGGTCCATGTGATACCAATATTCTCAGACACTTAACATCTTCATTATAAATTAATGTGTGACTAGACTGGTGCCCCAGGCAATGAAATGAGTAACATTCATGCTCTTTGAATCCCCTCTACATGACAGCAAGAGAAAGATCCAATTTCTGTTTAGTAATGTTTATGCATATATACTGCATACCATTCACATCACCTCAGGAGTAAATATAGCACTTGGATACGACAAGGCCTTGTTGCAATCGACATAACTGGCACTTTACAAATTTCTACTTTCATCCAAGAGATTATCAATATACTTTTCAATGAGTTATGTCTTAATATGATCCCAAAGAATATTGGACACTTTAAGATTGAAATTGCATTGAGATGAGCAGAGTTTTCAAGAAAACTGTTTCACACTACTACTGTTGTTTAATGTTATTACCTGTGATGTGGTGCTTTTTGGTACTGACACGGTTGCTGCTCTGGATGGAACAGCACAAATGAAGCATAGCCAACATGGCGAGAATCATCACCACACTCTGCAGGAGCAATGGCAGCTCAAACTGTTTGCCTATCCTGCAAAACAAAGAAACAAATAGATTTAAAGGTGAAGTGTGTAAAAGCTGTGCTTTTAGATAAACCAAACAGAACTGTGCAAATAACAACTGTTTTCAAACAGGTTTCCCATGACTGTCCTGCATTTCCCATTTGTCAAACAAACTGAAAACCCAGCCCCAAAATCACACCATCGGTTGAGTCATTGCTGTTATGTTGGGGTGGTTCAGATACACAAACAAAGCCATTTTTAAAGCCAAAGAGTAGAAAATGTGTATGCTTTTCAGATAATACAACATATGAATGGCTAACTTATGGCTTTCTTTAAATATTTCAGTTGCAATGAAACGAAAGCAGAGACTTTTCTCCCACATTTTGACAGACATTCAAGTAAAATGGTTTATTAAAAAATAAAATAAATAAAAAATAGCTTGTAGTCGATTGTAAAAATGGGGCATATTTAAGTAGACTAAATGACTGGAGACGTCTGGCCAACAACATACGCCTTTTCGCTGAAAAATCAATAATGACATTTTTTGCAATAAGAATTGTTTGCAATAAGATATTTTATTAGCAATAAAATATAATAATATTTTTATTTTATTTTGAATACTTAATATTTTTATTAAAATGTTTTAAGGAAAAAAAAAATATTGTAAGAACTGTTCACTAAAAGGTTCTTTGATGAAGGTTTCTTTTGAAACCTTTGTTTTTAACAGGGTAGATAGGGTGAAGTTCCATTTCATACCAAGTGTTGACTTAAAAATAATTTTAATTTTAATGTTTTATTTTTTATAAAAGAAAGAAAAAAGGAGCTTGAAAATAAATTAATAAATAAAGAACAGGCCCACAAAATACAAAAAATAAATAAATAAATAAATAAAAATAAACCTTAAGCTTTGTTCCTGTTTATTTTGCATCAATTTACACATTCCACATTTCGCCATCAATGAACTCTATCTGCTGCCGCTCTAACATTAACTCTCCTCCACTCACCAGAAGAAAATGCGAAGTATATTAGCAATGAGCAGCACCAGACAGACTCTTGTGGAGAATCCCTCAGCATTATTGGTCCTTTGGATCTCCTGGTACTGGGGGATGTAGGGCACCGCACCCCCAAACACCAAAACACCAGAAGCCAGCCAGGATAGCAGAGTCCACGAGCTTTCCATGTTCTCTTCTGACCCCTGCTCCATCACTTAGTCCTTAAAAAAGCACTCTCTTTACACTCATAACCCCTGCAAGCAGAGATTAGGACACTTTTACTTTTATTTGAATCAATATATAATATAGTACAATGCAATGCAAATAGAGGCATATATTGCAGCAACATGCCCTTAACGTACCAATAAAGCAACAGTGCCACCTTCAGTATTCTTAAAGATCTTACAGGATCAACAATACTTACAATAAACACATTGTAAAAGATTCATGCATGCCTTTCTAGAAATGAAATCCTATGAGGGGTCAATTTCATAGCAGTGAAACAGTAACAGTCGTCTATGCACGCTGCCACCCAGTCTCAGCTAAACAGGATGTTTGTGCACCAAAAGATAAGACTCTTTGTTTCTGACCTGACAAACATCTCCTCAAAATGATATAGGCTGAGTCACAAGATCTAGAAAACACTGCTGAGAAGTTTCAAAATAGTTATGACTGAGCAGCATAACTTCCCCTATTCAGTCTTGTGCAGATATGTTTTCTGAGGGGGTGAACATTCTTTAAAGGATGTAGAAAACGGAAGAATGTGTAATCTATGCTAACGGCCTGGAATAAGCTAATTTTTAAACCAACATTGCGTTATTGAACACTTGACCCCCATACAATATTATTTTCAACCGTAATTCAGATTTCTACTTGACCTGCCAGCATTTTACATATGTTATAAAAAAAACTCCAAAACAGGATTAAATCCATAAACAACATTGATGGAAAAACATAATGGCATACAAAACATTAGTGATTTTACTGATCAGTTTCATCATAACTTTATTTTGTTAGCCAGTAAGAAAAAAAAAGTGCCCTGCAAAATTTTTAAAGTGGGTTTTATGGGTTTAATTAGTCAGATTAGTAAGGAATGTATAATCCATATAAAATCAACCGGAACCTAGAACTTTCACATTGCATGTGCCTTATAGTTAATGTCTATCCGTAAAAGTGCTACTGTACATACAGTCGATGTGTTGCATAGATTCTGCATGTAGGGGGTGGGGGGTAGGGTCGTGACTTGTCTCCACCTCTCTTTTGTGTGTCCTGAATGAGCAGATGTTTACATACACACCCCTAACGTCAAAGAGGAAGACGAAACTATCATTTTCTGGGATGGCAAACATGGCCATATAACACGTCTGGTATGCTTGAGGCACTTATGCAATGTGCGCGTCTATGTTATGGTTTCTAGAAACCGGATAGCACATTGGGACAGCAGAGAAATTCCTCATGGGGTTCCAACCTGAAGAGTCGGTTCACGGTAACCAGTTTTTGCGTTTCACCACTGAGGAGCTTTTAAAATGTTTTCTTATTCTCTGTATAGTCATGCGCTTTTTGACAGTAGCTCAACCAATAAACCATAAACGTCTCGAGAGTCGAGAGCAATTCAATTCCGTCACGCGCTCGCAGCAGACAACCGCACCGTGATGGGAAGTCTGAATCATTTCCGCGAGTCGATTCTTTTGATAAATTTGTCAACCGATCTGTTTAAAAAAAATACTTAGTGGTTCTTTTACGTCATCGTTGCTGTTTACATTTTGAATTAAGTTTTGGCTGTATGAGAGTTTAATTGTTTTTAAAAGATCGTCACAGCTATTCCACTCATAAATTAGAACCTAAAGGCTGATTTTACAAAGAAATCATCATCAGGTGTAAAGTTATGTAAAAGTTATTTAAACCAATATGATCCACATGCATGCTGACAAGTTGTCATACAATCGAGTTGTAGCCTAAATAAACAGTCATTTTAATCTGCCATTTAAAGTAACTTGCTTTACCAGTAGCCTATATAATCTGCACTTAACATCACTCATTCCATTACGAATATGGCTATCGGGATTACGAAAGGTTTATTTTACATTTACCAAATCAGTTCGTATCGTAAAAAAAATCCGTTTAAACGATTAATCGAAAAAAGATCAGACTCAAAAGAACGATTCGTTAAACTATCACGAGGATATGGACAACCACTCAGGGATTGCCTGAGCTCCGTGTACAACTTCTGCATGTTTTGTCTTGTTCAATAAAGTGAACCTGATGAATCAGAGTGAACATTAATGCAGTATCGCCTTTCAAGAACTCTCAGATCAGCAATTCAGGCATGCACCGCCAAAGAAGCTAAGTTTAAGCACTCGAAACTCTGCAAATTCAGCAGGTTTCGCTTCAATGTAACAGTGTGATTAACAGAAAGAAGTTGCAAAGAAAAAAACCGTACTAATTTCAAGCATACCTTATTTCGGGCGAAGACTTGTTTGACAACTTAGCCGTATAGCAGCAGCACACATATGCATGCTGTCTCATCTAGCCATCATCTAGTCTAAATCAGGCTGATGCAGTTTGGAGATGTGGGCTTGGCCGCGCGCAGCTTTCATCGGTCTAATGTTACAGAGGAAGAGGGGAAAAACATAAACAGGGAAAACCTCTTATCAAGCCAAATATAGCGCTAGGTTATGATCCAGCTGATTTTTGATAGTAAAGTTTAACAGCAACGCTTTTAGGCTATAGCCTATCCTTAAACGAAACAAATATGACAAACAACCACAACATTTTTTTTATATCGTCCAATCTATATTTTGTTTTTCGCCATTTGAACCCATAGTCTTCTTAAGTGTGACTTCAAAATGCTAAAATGCCAAAATATCTATTTAAAAAAAGACTTTTGGTAATCTCTAACTGCCTCTCCTACTACACCTATATGTAAACAATTAAATAAACAAAACAATTGTTTTTATCATTGGGTAAGCAACAAAATCAGCGGAATCATTTAAATAAATTCTGCCATATCCTGCTGTAATTTGTCGGTGGTTTTAATAGATTAAATCAATAACGGCATCTTTTGGATGAGCAGCAGCACTGCCCTGCTCCAGCGCGTCTGTCTGATCACGCCAGAATCAGATGTGCGTGCCTGCAGCTGCCAGAGGGAATCGCTCACCGAGAGGTCTTTAAAATCTCGCGATATTTGTCAAGACTCCGTGATTTGGCCAACAGCTGATTTTTAGTAAGCAAAGGGCTGGGAGGATACACAGTTTTAAGAAGATTAAACATATATTGCTGTTGTACAAATCTATTTATTTAAACAAAAAAAATGGCCGAAACAGACCCGAAATCGGTTCAGGATCTCACAGCAGTGGTAGGTTTGAAAATGAACGAAATTGTTGTGGTTCGCTAAGCTAGCTAGGCTAATGCTAGGCCATGTTTATCTGTTCTACTTAGATTATTTTGATGCGATATACACTTCGGTTAACGTTTCCAATGAGATATCTTTCGGATGATATTATTGTTGTGTTTTAAAGAAGCAGATTTATTTGTTCAAATGTTTTATTTGAACATATTTAAATATCGTTGTGCATTATACACGTTAGATTAAAGGCATATTTTCCCTTACAGGTGCAGACATTGCTGCAGCAAATGCAGGACAAGTTCCAGACAATGTCAGACCAGATCATCGGGAGAAATATCCTTTCTTGTTTTTTTATAGAGTTTTTCCAAGTACCGGTAAGCACCAGTAGCCTCCGATATACCCTAAATTTTAAGATCACATCAAGCTATTAAGTGCTTAATTGAGGTTAATTACTTCATATTTAATTAGCAGATTTGCATTTTATTTAAGTAGTATTGAAAGTCCATTTACACCACATAAGAAAATAAAAAGTATTTGTAAATCATAATGACAAAGTCGAAATTTTACCATACTAAGTCATAATTGAGATGCTGTTAAATTATGTTATAATGAATCCAAATATGACTTAGCTAGTTATGATTAAAATTGACTTTGAATGTCATATTTTCAATTTGGTCACACTTTAGATTAGGGTCCAATTCTCATTATTTACTGACTATTAACTACTACTTTTGCCTCAAACTCCTAATTACTACTTATTGACAGTTAGTTAGGTAGTTGCTAAGTTTAGGTATTGGGCCAATATCCTAGTAATATGCATGTTAATATGCATGTAAACTAGTTTATCGTGAGAATTGGACCCTAAAATGTCACCTCGAATTGTACTCTTAAAATCAAAATTCCACATTATGATTTTAAATTAAAAACGTTGCCATATTCAAATAAAGTGTCACTAATTAAACAAGTATATGTTCAGCTATTTGTCAGCCTCTTACATGTTTACCAACCAATCACCGTCTTCAAAAGATAGTTTCATACATGGCAATGGGGTCAACCCCGCCTCCTTACTCAAATGAAAGTTTGTCTTTTCCTTACTCAGAGTTGCGCTCAGATCGGTCCCAAATCGCTCTTAAGCTAAGACTCCTACGTACATTTTTTTTAAGCTAAATTAAGAGTTTTCTGAGAGGATTGAATACGGGCCCAGGTCTTTAACCATTAAAATGCCACAACCACCATTATTGAACAGGACAGTCTGGCATCTTATGCTAATCTCTGCTGAAAGCTCCACATTTTCACACAACCAGAATTTACCACAACCACATCATTAAAATCCAAAAAAAAAAATACAAATGAATGTTTTAATTCAGTACTATTAGATTTAGAAGTTTAGAATACACCCTTTTGTTTAAACAAATATTCCTTTAACCTCTCACTTATTGTGGGTTATCACCTGTACTAGTTCCTATCTTCCTTAACAAGCTTCACTTGATGAAATGAGCACCCGCATCGATGATCTAGAGAAGAACATAGCAGACCTGATGACTCAGGCAGGAGTGGAAGAGAATGAAGGAGAGAACAAGGTCAAAGAGGGAGGAGAGGCCTCCTAGTAGAGGTAGTTTAATTTGATTTCTATTGCTTAAAAGTATTTTAGCTTTGATTCTAAATGGCATTTAATTGTGACATACTCTAATCAAATGCACTTATCTTTCACAGGATGCTGAGAAAACACTATACACACTATTCAGGATCAGCAAGATTTTCTCTATGGTGACTAACATATTTTGGTTTGATGTGATGCTTTTTTTAAAAAAATATATATATATTTAGCAGGAATTCAAGTCAGTCTTAATGCTGTGACTGTATGCTACCCTTTTTCCTTTATGGACGACAAAGAACTTTTTAAACTTGACATCCAACTGTAGAAACAAACCCTGCGTTACTGTAATAACAGCACTAGCCCAAGTGCCAACCTAACACCATTCCTGTTCAAATAAATTTGTTGTTGAATTAAAGATGTTTCTTAAAACCTGTGGCCTCATCTCTCTATATTGTTAGTTTAAACAATACACTATTTTACCTCTAATTATTTACTGGCAGGGGCAGGTTAAATGTCAAAGAAACATATCTTGACATGCAAATGACAAAATGAAAGTGAATGCCTCAAATACACTAACAGGGTGAATTGATTCTTGGAAAAGTAAAATGACTGTTATAATTGGTCAATATGTAAGCTGGGTAAGTTGATGATTAATGCCTTAACACATTAGAAATTATAAAGTCGCAACATTATATGATTTTTTTTTTAATGAAATATCTTAATTTTAAATCAGTAAAAAGAGTTGTAGTGATATATATTGGTGAATTTCACTGGATTTAAACATCAGTCTAAAAAAAATCTGTCAAAATATGTCTTGGCATTTTGCCCCATGATAAATAAAAACTGAATTCAATGTTTACATTAAATTGAAAAGTATTCAAACATGCCAGCATATGTAACATAGAATTTAATTCACAGAGTTTTTAATAATAATATAAGAACATCTATTAAAGTTAATTCTGGTCCAGAAGGCTTTCATTCCAGTATTATTTTTCACATCATAATAATTATAATAATTGTGATAATGTCACACTACAAGCCAACAACAAAAAATCCTTATGGTAAAAAAAAAACAAAAAAAAATTATATTTGAATATTTTGAGGTCAAATGTAAAACGTGTCTCCCAAAAAACTTTTGTGGTCATTTACATAAAAAAGGACTTGAAAGGTTTCCCTACAAGGAATGAACATTTATTGAACTCTTAAAATAGTTTGACTAAAACAATATATATATATTAGTACCAACATTATCACCAAAGAACATGGCTTCACAATTCAGTTAACCGTTTTGATTAAAATATATAAGTTTGCATAAAACATTGGGTTGATTCGAAAAATGAACAAATCCCACTCAGAACACAAAGCCATGATCAGTCATGTCGACAGCCCAGGCAAACTTATCCCTTAGGGTTTTGTTGTAAATTTTGTCCAGATTCACCTCCATGTTCTTACACCTAGAAGCAGAAAATGAAGTAAAACACTGAAATAATAATTTTGAGATATAACAAAACTGTCAGTATAGCATGTTTGTGTGTTTAAGTGTGACATAATCACCAGGCCACGGTAATGCGTGGATCCAGGTAGTTGAGTTTGGAGGTGCCCAGGGCGATCTGTTTGTTCTCCTCTCTGTCTGTAGCTTGAACCTCCATCTTCAGCAGCTGTTCCTCACACCTCTGCACAGCTTTCTTCTTCTTCTCCACCACACTAAACACAAACACAGTATACCATACTCATGTGTAGAAACGATTCCAAAGGCTGGAAGAGCAAATAAACGCCACTTTTCTGGGATGAGATACTGACATGAGCAGCTTGTTGTCTGTGCTCCCTTTGGCTTCTTTCTTGGCTTGCTTTAGCTCTTTCTTTGCCAAGTCCAGCTGCTCTTTCCTGCTGTCAATCTAAAAGCAGCAAGAGAAGAGAGGAAAAACAAACCTATTAAAAACAGCATCATATTTAAACATTTCTTTCATGTTTTTTATATGCTGCTTCTTTTACTAATCAGTCTCATATCTCCAGTACCTTTGCCTGCAGGTTAGCCATGGATTGATCGAAGGTCTTTGGCGGCGCCCGTTGATGGTTACATAGAATTGCAACCGCACGGTTTGCCCTGTTGTAAGAGAGCAACTTCTCCACCACATTATCCTTCACTGTAGTAAGAATGACACATTAACACACACACATACCGGTGTGTGTGTGTATATATATATATATATATATATAGAGAGAGAGAGAGAGAGAGAGAGAGGATACGTTCAGAGTCACAGATTCATTTAAATGTGGAAACTGACAGGAGTTAGATTCCCTCTTTCAGAGCAATCATGTCACATCCATTTCAACAAAATAACAATTTAAAATGACTTAAAAAAAAAAAAAAACAATTTAAAAAAGGTAAGTTACAGTACCGTGCAATGAAACTATGCCACCTTAAAATAAAGTAACCCAGAATTATACAAAAAATATGAAGTTATCATATTTCACCCTTCCCAAAAATAATAATTCTGTACATATAAAATTATGTATTTATATATTAATTATATATAATTAGGTTATTTTTATATTGTAATAATAATCCTATTCGAATCAGTGCCATTTTAGATTTTCTTATAATAGTTATTCATTTTTAATACTTTTGTTGTGCTTTTATCATTTGATTATTTTAATATATATTGCTATAGGTATAATTAATTTGATTTCTATTTCAGTTATTTTTATTAATTTCCATTTAATAATTTTAGTGTTTCAACATGTACGTTTCAGTTTATTGTCAAGGCAACATTTCTCATTTTCATTTATTATTATTATTAGTTTACTAATATTTTATTTTATTCAAAATGTATTTCAATTAACAGAAATATTTTATTAGTTTTAGTTAAGGATAATAATAACCCTGATTGATTTTCAAATTAAAATTTAACAAGGCAGTACGTAAAGTATTAATTTAAATATAATTATTTTTTTTTTCATTAAAATAATAATGATATTCATATTATAGTAAAAATAATAAATAATCATAATTATAAATGAATTCTAAATAGCTATTAAACAATGCTTTGCTCCCTTCAATATAGATATTTTTGTCTTTTAACTTTGGGATAAAATAATCACCGACACAATCTTAAAATGCATTTTTTGTGGTACATTACAGTAACATTTTCATTCTAATAGAATATTAATAAGTATTGTAATGCTTCCAACGTAAAGGAAATAGAGCTGAAAATGGTTCAAATGGATAATTCTAGGTCCTTAAACAAGCTTCATTGCGTAAAAGTGTAAATTACAAGCCAACATGCCGACCACTTACACACACAGCACATGGCACCTGATGGGCGAGACCCTGCCACACACTGAGCTGATTTAATTAGAGCTTGTAGTGGAAGCAGAAAACAGATTCCCTCTCAGCGGCGCTCAGACACCTCAGCAATACACACACATCACACCAACCCCAGCATTACACACACATCACATGCACAGACTGCAGCACTTGCTCTAGAGATACTCAGATAGTTACACTACCCACAAACAAACGTAACAGTCTCATTAGCGCAAAAACACAACTCAGTAATTAATGATGAGCATCCTATTTACACAGCTAGAGGCACAACAGACTAGAACATGTCCGTCATCTAGCGATCTCTTCCATGTTAATAACCAGTCTTTGTTCTAACAATTTATGACTATGGCAAACAAAGAGAAACAGGTCATTTTGCCAGGCAGTAATATAATAATTTAGTAAAAAAAAAAATAAATAAATTATAATATAAAGAAAAGGTGATTTAAAAAATAAATAAATTAAAAACTAACTCATCTTTGTTTAACAGTTAGTTTTACAGTTACTAACTTGGATGAGTTGTTATATATTGTAAAAATCAGATTAGTGATTCAAATATATAGTAAGCATTTTCTAATGTGAAAGAACTTTCCAAGTCTGACTGAATCCAGATGTTTGAGCAATTTATAGCTTATACTGTGTGGTTTGGGCTCCATACATCTGACTTATGGGCAGCACTACCATAGAAAACTCAAACAAAATAATTTAATAACAATATTTACTTTTAAAGTCCCCGTGAAATCAAAATTGAACCTATTTACTTTGTTAGCGCATATTACTAGTCTTGTGGTGAACAATTACTCCGTGCAAGTAAAAATATATTTAATAAATGTTTTACCTTGGTAATCTTTAATCAAAATCTGAAAAGTTACTTCGGTCTGGAACGGTTTCTTTTTCTGATGACGTAGGTTTCACAACTTGGGTGGGGAAACGCTTAACCACTCCCCCCAAACCGTTAGTTTGCTATGAGCGAGAGATGGAGAGGAGGAGCGCTAGAGTAAAACCCTGCCCTCTGTTCAATATTCCGTTTCACTTGGAAATACGTCACAGCACTGGAGAAAAATCGTTTGCAACTTCCGGTTCACGGGGACTTTAACTAGCTAAAATTTCTAGTTTAGCTTCTTTAAATAAACTAAATGTAACTGGGATAACGGACAGTAAACTATTTCCATGACACTGAAACTCTTTTGGACCTTGAACCGTTTTGTTCCCATTGAAGTCCATTATATGGAGAAAAATCCTGGAATGTTTTCATCAAAAACCTTAATTTCTATTCAACTGAAGAAAGAATGACATGGGGGTGAGTAAATTATCAGCAAAAGTTTTTTTAAAAGTGAACTACTCCTTTAAAAGGTACAATATGTAGGAATTTTTCGCCACATGAGGGCGCAGTTATCAACAATAACAAAGGCGAAGCTTGATGACGCTATGAGGGAGAGTTGAACAATAGGATATGTCGTTTTCACCATCCAGAGATGTTATGGAATTGATGAATCATGATCACGGATGAGGTAATTTATTTGCTTTTGTATTACCTGTACCTGCTGTGCAGTTTTATGGGTTTATGGTTAAAGGGTTAGTTCAACCAAAAATTAAAATTCTGTCAGTATTTACTCACCCTCATGTTGTTCCAACCCCGTAAGACCTTCGTTCATCTTCGGAACACAAATTAAGATATTTAAGATATTAAGATCGCTCCTGCAAAATAGTCCATAGGCTTCTTGAGGGAATGACTTGCTGGCCTCGAAAAGTCATTAAAGGACATCGTTAAAACAGTCCAAGTGACTACAGGGGCTCAATCTTAAGTTTATCAAACGACGAGAACACTTTTTGTGCGCAAAAACAACAAAAATAACGACTTTATTTCAACTATTCGTTTATTTTTCCCTCTGCCTCGAGTCAGGTTACTAGTTTAATAGCGTAAGCTTCTGTTATTGTACGTCACACGCGTCACACACATGACCAGCGTCGGCCAATAGTGAGCCTAATAGTGTGACGTCCCTTTTCGCTATCACACTACGTTAACTGACTACAGGCCCATGGAGAAGGAAGTGAATAGTTGAAATAAAGTCGTTATTTTTGTTTGTTTT